GCGCAACGATAGCTGTGTCGGATGCGTCTGTTTCGACACCTAGTAGAATGCTCTGATCAATTGTCACGACCGTTACACTTTCCAAGGCCAATTTAAGCCGTTTGAATGCATTTTCTACATGCGGTGGACGGGACAGATCCGGTTCTTTACGAGGGTACTGATTTTGTCTGATAAGGGAGCCATTGTAATAGGTAAAGATGCCCATAACGCGGCGTTAAGATTCCAGATCAGTTGGAGGTAGAATTTGGCGCAGAGGTTTCATGCGCTCGGGATCGGGCCTGATTTCGCCCTTTGATATATGATAATCTAGGAAATGAATTTCATCACTTGCGCTGACGCTTTTAGCGTGGTTCAAAGTTATGCCGTATTAACAACAGCTGTCAAGAACTTTTGGAGGTTTTGTCTACTCTCGTCCATAGTTAAATCACACACTACCGCTCTCTATATAAGCAAATGTACCACAGACCCGTTTTTTTATTGTTCTGTCGATACTACGCTAGAAACAAGCCACACCTTTAGTGACTCCAAATGGGATACTTCAAAACCGGAATAGGTGACCGCATGCTTCAAAGGTCGTGTATGGCTTCTCATGCTCAGCGATCAGGATCTGATGATTGGCATTTTTCTGATCCAGTATACTGTATACGGCATAATGAGAAATTGTTATCATCATTTTGTCAATTCGTGGCAACGGATAGGCAATATGAAACGGTTGATCGTTTGACCGTAATCAACAACCATCCTTTTTATGTTTGATATTTGTACTAACCACTACCTGTGTTGTTCAGGTAGAGCTTGCTGATTCAATCATGCCGTCGTTTAACAATCGGTGCATTTCGGCATTTATACAATGTTCGTCCTCAATTGGATGTCGACGAGACTTTGTAGTGAACGGTTTGCATTCAGAAGACAGGTTGGCAAATAGTGGAGGTTATTCGATATTGGCTGCAGTTAGTCCACATAACAAAAAAGTGCCGCGCCCCCACCGAGTGATATTACAACTTCATTATGCAAGCCAAGAAAGTCATGGCCGAGTACCACATCAGCGCATGTATTACGCAAAAGCGGAAAGCCGTGTGTCATTGTATGCAACGTGTTGGTAGCGAATCCGAACATTGAAATACTTAATAACGACGAATGACAGAGAGGTGGGAGCCCTAGTGATTTTGGAGTCACAAGTACAGATTTTCCAGTGGTGGGAGTAGACGATGCATTGAGACAAAGCTATCATAACTGCCACTATCAATTAGGGCCTGCAGTTTAGTGTTGTTTACGAAAATTTTTGTTGTTGTGCATGACAAGCAGCTTGGAGCTGCAACCGTAAAAACGGAAGACAAAGTGAACGTAGTGTTGAAGTGATGCATGAAGTAGAGCGGTTGAATTTACACACAGTTTGAAATGCCACGTTTTCCCACAAGCTTTGCAAATGGCATCCTTCGCAGGACACTGTAATCGGGGCTACATGGTAGCTCACCAAAGTAACACGTTTCCGTGGGCACCGCTGGCACAATCGGTTCAGCCTCAGCTGTTAGTGAAGTGATGATGAGTACGTGGAACAGAATTTGTCGAGGCACAGGGAATGGTTTTAGTGCCATAAAACTGTGATTTTTTCAGTGCAACCTCCAGCGACCTTGCCATTTCATAAGCAGTCTGAAAATTCAAGACTGGCTGCTCCATGAGCCTCGTTTATAAGCATCATGCATGGCGTCGTCGTAGTATTTGTCAGCGGAGACACAGCGAACAAGTTTGCCGTTTTGCACAAACTGACCGATATTTTGTCCACATTATTGCTTGCACCTAGTTAAAAGATATCGAGCAACAACCACATTTTAGGACGCACATACAGAGACTGAAGAAGTGAAACAGGTTTTGTATTCAGCGACATGCTGATACATGGAAGGAGACAGAAAGTTGACAAGCATGTCCAGATTATCCGAGTTGTCAGAAAGAACTCGCTTTAGGAAGGCGTTGAATGTTCGAAGCCAATATGTCCAGTGTGTAGAGAGACATCTGGCGCATTCAAATCAGTGTCGAATTTATCAGGACGAATAAAGCGGTCCACTGTGTTGTCAGATCAGTAAAATGATGCGTTGGACGGGCATAGTACAGCAGACGGAATAGCGCGGAGTAGGAACTATACGCTTTACTGAAATAGCAACGAAGGCGCATCAGCTGCAAGGTAAAAGAGTTGATTATGATGTGACACGCACAAGGGGGCAGTTGTGTGTATTCGACAGTAAGGATAGCATACAGTGGTTGTGTGATGAAGTCGGTTGCATGTGTGAACTAGAAACGGTAGCCAATGAGCATATTGTAGAACGGTCCCTGGTTTTGTGAGGGCGTGATACTACCCGTTGCCCAAGCCGAAAGAGGGGTTGGCTTATGGTTAGATAACCTTCCCGCAACGCAGCGTGTCGGATTCCGTTAATCGGGCCGATTGGAAGTCGCTGACTGAAATGTTCAGTTCATCCGTCTTTTGTTTGGTCGGTCTCCAAACAGGGGTCCCACACTCCCCATGAAATGAACACAATCACTGGGCTGCATTGCCTCATTAAGATGGAAGACTCAGCGAACACTTCACTGTTCGGGATACAGCCGAACCACCCATCTGGCTCCACAAGGAGGTAGTTCGGCAAACCAACCTGATCAGCTTATTGAAATTGACGAAGGCTGCGAGACCGGGTGATCATCCTCCGGCCCAATTTAAATTCGGGGAACCTACTCTGGTGAGTGATTTACACGCGTTACTAGTGAAACTGTGAAGGCAGGAAATTGTTCTGATAGACTGGAGCTGCTCCGTTATGGTCCGGAGCTACAAAGGAGGCTCACGTTTGGAATACGGCAGACAGAATTAGCAGTCTGATCTCCCTCGCCTCCAAGTTACTATCCTCTGTCTTCCTTCACAAATTGACTGGCACTCGTAAAAGCCAGATTCGTGAGGAGCAAGCATCAGGGTCGAGGCTGTATCGATCACGTCCTCACTTTGCATCGATTATTGGAGCACCGTCACATTTATTGGCTGCCCACTCTAGTCGTGTTCCTCGACATCAAAGGCGTGGTGCATCCAGACTGCCTGGCTGAGATTCTAAATACGATGAACACGTTTGGCTAGACACTTGTTGAAATGGCGAAGAGCCTATCCTATTGGCGTTTGTGTGGTGGGTTTCTTTGTTCATCCTCCTCTTTTTTAGATTCCGTCTCCATTTCCGATCTCCCATGAATTGTATCATAATATTTGACATGATATTACCTACTTTTGAATTTATTGTAGTGTAATTTTTTGTATCACCTTTTTGTATTGTGGCACATTAGGTTAGGTATGTTTCTCATCCTCAACTAACGTGTATTGGTGATGATGACATCAAAGGTGTCTGGTTCGATGAGTCGATATGGTCTTTTGGAATATCTTTGAAGGAAAGCGTCCTCAAGAAATATGTAAATACTAGCCTAGCTTTTTACGCACACAGCTCGGACAGAGTGAATGCTTCATGGTAAGGTGTCGCCGCCCTTCAGTATCTCCAGCCATGTAAGACGGATGTCCACTGCCTCCTTTCCTCGTCAACTTCTCCATTGACAAAATCGCAGAAATTGCGTTCACTGGACCCGAATTAGAACATACGAAGCTACTTCCATGGGAACGACTTCTTGGCTTGGAAATTACTAACAACATTACCCTGATCAGAGGCAGCTCACAAACCTGCCACGCAGCACTGGACACTTTAACACTGACTGTCAGCCGTTTCGGGCTATGCTTCGCATCCTCGAAATGCAAAATCCCCTTCCAACATTGGCAGGGACCGCTTCCCGTGGTCACGCTTGGTGGTGACCGGTTAGATGTTCAGAAATTCATTTATCTAGCCAAGTATATTAGTGCCTGTGGAATAGAAGGTGAGGTCGTGAACCTTATGGCAAAAGATCAAGGAACGTTTGCCAATTTTCGCCACCTGTGGCACCGGCATTACATTGTCTTCGCTCTGAAGGGCAGAGTTTACAATGCAGCCGTCCGTTCAACCCTTCTGTACGGTTGCGAAATCTGGCCATTCAAGTCGGCAGACATAATTAGGCTAGTTGTTTTCGATCGCCGCTTCCTTCGCAGTTTTGTTCATGTCTGGTGCGAGCACCGCGTGCGCGGCGAACATATTCGGCGTCGTGTATTTGGTGCAAGAAGAGCGAATAAACCGCTCAGCATCTTTATATCACACACCTCCGATGATTGGGCCACGTGTTGCGCATGCCATCACACCGACTCCTGCGACCTTGCGTTTGTGCGGCTGGAGGTTTGGATAGAAGAACAGGAGAGGCGGACAAGCGATGACTTTGCCATAAGACATTAATACTGTAATTTCGATGATGGCGTCGGTTGGTTTCTCTCGACTGCCGTGTTGCGCTCCGAAAGGCGATGAGCACGTCTGGTTGCATATACTTGTTAACATGGCGAGGATCAGATCTAAATGGCACTTGTGTTATGAGTTTCTTTGTCTCTCCCCATCCCGTTTTCCTACCCGATCTACCATGATCGCTCTCTTGATGCATAATGTGTTACCAAGCAGTGTGTTGCCTGTTTTTTACCTTCTATAATGTTTACTGTCTTGCTTTTTATCATTTTATATTGCGGCAAAATAGTAGAATTGTGTTTCTCACCTTCAGCTACTGTGTAATAATTATGCGGCTGCTGCTGCTGATGTTAGTTGGAGTGCCCTTAGTAACCGCAGCGCACTGCCTTTGCCGGTTAGCGCGATTTCAAAGTTCTGTTTCTTTTTGAGGACAATTGCATATTCTAAACTCTCTAATTCAGCAATTGGTACCTCACAAAATTGCAGACTAAAAATCGGAAACACGAACTGATGCTGCTGGTTTCGTTCTTTCTCCTGTGAAACGCTCCCATTCTAGAGATGGAAGTGGCTCAATAAGATGACTACTGTCCCTTTTTCCCTGTCGTCATGTCGTCAGCACTGTTACTACCTTCTTACCTGCTTATACTCATTCTTCTTTCGGTTTATCCCCTTCTAGGTTGTTCTGGCAATGACATCCAGCTGTCTATAAAGTATTTTTCTTACATTCCAGCTCTACAGGTGTATTGCATTGGATACGAAGGAGCTCCGAATTCCTAACTGGATATATACTACGTCCGCCATGGAATGTCTTCCTCGTATATCAATGGTGGGAATTCCGTCAAAAAAGGCCTGCGGTCCTCCAGATCTAACTCCTATGAAAGAGGTTCCTCATCAATTCATATTACCTTTCAGTGTATTTGCCGTAACTATCAACTGTCTGCCAACGAATTCAGGGATGAGTTTGCAGAATTTTTGCTTACCAGAAAGGTACCATGGTATTTTGATTTCATACTTTATTCCTAGAGTGCGTGCGAGCCGTCTGTTGATTACACGGGACTCTCCAAACTGAAAAGATACTACGCGCAGCTGCAACTCGTTAAGGGACGGTTTGGTTCCCTCACTACTGGTAGCACTGGTGTAACGTGGAAATGGTAAGCTGATATAGATCAGATTCAAAATTCACTAGGTATGGCGCATTCACAGATGTTCCATTGGCAAAGAACGACATGCGTTTCGAAGAGAATTCCATTCTGTTCAACATCGGTGCATTGCATACGTCTCTCGCGATCAGAGAAAAGCGCTCTGATACCGATGTGAGTCAATTTCCCACCGTTTATGCTGAAACGGTGATCATTGCACTGAAAATTCTTCGAATTCCACTTACTTTCCAATAGCTACCTATCAGCTCTCTTTTACTACTCCTCGATTCTCGCCTTCATTTGTTAGTTGACACAGGCTGAACGACATCCCTAAATCCAAGTATGCATAATTTCGCTATTATTTCGGGTTACAGGACATTAGGTAGCTTTCCACAATCTAGTGTCCATGCGCACTAAATATCTATACCAGTCGGAATTCACGTAACATAGAGGACTGAGTTACTCAACTTTACACATTGTCTCATGGAAGTTGGAGGCCACAACTGATCGTCCGTAACGATGCTGCTTTCTTACTTGTTAATATGCCGTTTTCATTTTAACATGGGCGTTTAAAAAAAGCCAAACTGCGTGTGCCGAGTTGTCAGTGGCGTAGGTTTGCCAGGTTACGATCGTCGAGGCACTTTTGACGCTGGTTCGAGCCTGTGTAGTATCCTTAGTCCGAGTACGACTGGTAGCGTTTGCGCGGCAGCGAGGCGTCGGTACGCAGTACCGACGTACTACTGGTGTCTTTCTTCTTAAGTGTAATCTTCAACCCGAGGGCGTGGAAGACCGAAGATACGGAAGGGTGGATCCCGTTTTCTTTCAGCGGTCACTGACAGACACGAGCTTGGTCATGATTGTTGTGGTCACCAAGGTCGCACCGTGCTGTTCTGCTTGGCTGTTCGAGAAAACCTGTCCGCCCCGATTGGACGCGAAGTCGCAGACGCAGTGTAATGACCGCCAGACACGAAATAATCACAATGACTAGACTTTCGTTATTTATGTGTTTGTTGTGACCCTGAACGTTCCTTTTTTCTGTTCTTTGCTGAACCATTATAGTATTTGGTTATCAAAAACACTTTTCATCGGCCATTGCGGTTATTCCACCAGTTTTCTGGAAAGGAGTTGCATTTTGACTCATTTAGGGTTTACTGATCCATTCCTTAAGAAGTACTTCCCCTAACAATGATATCTTTCCGTACCGATGACATTGGCCTGCACGTCGCTGCTTCGGAGATGCGTTTTCCCGTCCCTCGTCGCTTATTTCGGTCGTTTCGTGCAGCATTAGGGTAATAAACCCACACTGAGTCTGATGGGAGTCATAACAGCCTACACTGTTCCGATGGTCACGCAGCTGCATAGATTCGCCCACGCAAAGTACGCTAAGGTCCATAGAGAGAAGGGAACATTAGGTCACCGTCATTGGTCAAGGTGAATGATATCCATGATCAAGAGAAGGGTTTGCACCATCTGCCACTACTTACACAATTTGGGTTGCATAAGTGATTGTTATGTGATCCGAACATCGTCCAGTCCCCTCTCTCATCAGAACTTGCTAATACTGCTGATTTTCTGCTCAAAACATACAGTGGCCAATTTGATTTACGAAACCTATTTGCATTTCCAACATCTAGCTTAAAGTGCTATATATATATATATATATATATATATATATATGGTTGGCGGCATCCGGTTTCGGATTTTCCTGTCACTGTGGCCAGCCACAGGACGCCTGCGCCTGCAGATGGACCATGGATGGCTTGCGCTACACCATCCACAGTCCCAACCACACACCCCATATCTAGTGTAAACCCGAAGGAATAAGACCGGGAGGCATACGGATGGGAGCCGCGTTTCATCAACGGAGCCGGCCCACACTATTTCACAGGCAAACACAAGCACGCTGTAGTTGGGAATCAAGCGCACACAAGGCAGTGGCTGGACCGTAGTCCACTCCACACTGAGTGCATGGAACCACTCTTCGAGCCTAGTACGGCCACAAGGACCGTGCACCCCGGCCCCTCCAGCAACGACAAACTGTCTCCTGGAGCCAGTATTTACGAGGTAGTGGGTAATAGACAGGTAAGCACCTTGTCAACATGCACATCAAGCGCAGCCACACCGGGGATATCAAACAACAGTCAATCACTTGAGCGAGAGATAAAAAGAAAAAAGAAAATAACTCGATGAATGCATAAGGCAACGGTGACATAAACCTTAAGTTAATGAGCATATGTAATAAGTTGTTTACAAACGAATCCTAGATAAGTTCACGAGGTCAGAAAGTATACTTTACGGAAATGCCACGAACGCAAAAATGTTGTGGAAATCGAATACAATTGGCTTAAGCGAGGTGTGCAAGTTAATGGAATAGAGTACAGGTAGACATTTATATGAGAAAGAAAAGCATTAAGGCAAAATTGAAAACTCACCACCTGAAATAAAGAGACTTAGCATGCAAGCATGCGGTTAGTAAGTCGAATGCAGCGTACCTACAAACGCTGTGCCGGTTTTGTCTACCTTCTCTGCAGGACCCGTCGTCGCTTTTGTAGTGGTCCCGAGTAGCCTCGCTCATGGCTCACTAGACATTTATATGAGAAAGAAAGGTATTAGGGCAAAACTGAAAACGCACCACCTGAAATAAAGAGACTTAGCATGCAAGCACGCGGTTAGTAAATCGAATGCAGTGTACCTGCAGGCGCTACGCTGGTTCTGCCTACGTTCTCTGCAGGACCCGTCGTCGCTTCGGTAGTGGTCCCGAGTGGCTTCGCTCATGGCTCACTAAGCCTGCCTGACTAAGGCACTCGCGACCGCATGTTCTACAGCACCATGCGCTTGATGTCGATGGAGAACAACCCATCGGTGCTTGCCGCTTCTTCTCTGCATGCATGAGGACTTTCTCCTGCACCTCGGCAACTGCCTTTGTGATCAGGTCGCGCCATGCACGCCGATCAACCGCCTACGATCCCCATGATCTGCAATCAAGATTAGAACATGTGAGGCTCACTTTAATCATGTCCTGGTAACGTAACCTTGGCTTCTCCACGTGCCGCTTCCCAATACTCAGCTGACCATATAATACCTGCTTCGGTATCCGCGTCGGATCCATACGGCTCACATGACCGATCCACCTCAGGTGTCTCAATAAAAGTATGCAGTCCACTGCATACATCCCACTTCGACGCAACACTTCCGTGTCTGCAACTCTGGCGCCCCAGCCAATGCGCAAAGTCCGTCGCAGACACTGCTGATGGAACCGCTCAGGATATCGCACATCCCACCGGTACATCGTCCACGTTTCACTGCCGTATAGAAGAACGGACAGCACCGTGGATTTGTACACCATTAGCTTCGTGCCAATGGTAAGCTGCTGGTTGTTTCACACTCGATAATCAAGCTTCCCGAAAGCCGCTGCTGCCTTCGACACGCGGATACGCAGCTCACTGTGTAGCTGCTGATCAATCGACATCACACTCCCAACGTAGCAAAAGCGGGAGGTGGTTTCTAATACTTAAGCACCAATGCTGATTCGCGACACAACTGCAGATTGCACCTCCGGTGAAGGCTGAAAGAGACAGACAATTTTGCTTGTGTTGATGGTGAGCCCAAATTTTGCCGCTTTCGAAGCCAAAACACTAGTCATGTGCTGCAACTCATCCGCGCTGTGTGAAAACAACGCACAGTCGTCAGCAAACAGCAACATACGGATAGTTGTCTCGCAGACTAGAGTTCTCACACCGAAACGACGGATGTTCAGTAACCCACCATCAATACGGTACTCTACACGCACACCGTAAGCACAAGCGGCATCAAAAGCACAGGACACATTGCATGAAAATATATATTAAACAGGACAGGAGCTAAGACACAGCCTTGCTTCACACCAGAGACAACTGCAAAGTCATCCGAGGTCTCTCCACTCAGCTGCACCCTCGCTCGCATACCACTGTGCAGACATACAATTAAGCTTACAAGCTTACGCGGGCAACCAAACATACCCAACACCAGCCACAATGCCTCGCGGTTCACCGTATCAAATGCCTTGGTGAAATCAACAAAAAGCGAGTACAGTGGCTGGTGTCGTTCTCTGCACTTCTCTTGCAACTGACGAGCCGCAAACACCATATCTATAATGCTGCGGCCCGAACGGAATCCGCATTGCTCTTCCTGCACGTTAGGTTCCACAACCTGACTGCTGAGGTGGTTGAGCAGGATTCGGGCGATCACCTTGCCCACACAACTCAGCAAGTTGATGCCACGATAATTCGTGCAACATTGCTTGCTACCTTTGCCCTTGTACAGTGGTAGTACAAGGGCATCCTTCAGCTCAGGAGGCACCTCCTCCTCAATCCATACGCGTTGCACCAAGTTGTGCAGCGCAATCAACAACGCGTGTCCGCCGTGTTTCAACACTTCATACGGGAACCCATCGGCCTCGGCACACTTGCCGTTTCGCAGCTGAGCAAGTACTCTCTGTGTCTCATCCAGTTTCGGCGTGTCCGCCAGATTCGCCTTCACCTCGTGCTGCTTGAGGCCGTTCAATTTAGGCCAGTTGATCTCTGAACGGTTGTTCAAGAGACAGTCAAAGCGTTTTCGCCAGATCTGCATTATGTCTGCAGTCTGTATGCAGGTAACGCCTGAACTACCATCGATCAGTGTCCTCAGCGGCTCCAATCTCGGTCCATACACCGCCTTCAAGGAGTCAAAAACTTCCTTGTGTTGGCGGCGTTCGGCGTAGCATTCCATCTGCTTCGCCTTCTCTGTCCACCATGCATTTTTAATGTGACAGAGCTCTCGGGTCCGTCGCCGTCGAAGTTTGCGAAACTGACTCTTCTTCTCCAAGGCACTGGGGTCTACCACATGTGCAGCAAATGCTGCATTCTTCTCCGACACCAATGCGCCGATCGTCGCATTGTTGTCATCAAACCAATCAGGCCGCTTACGGTTTGCGCGCCCGATGGTCTCATCGGCAGCAGCTGTCACCTGGTCGTGAATGTGGTGCCACAGGTCGCCCACTGTGGCTATGCAGTCCACATCACACAGGCGTGCAGCCATCGCCTTCTGCAGCTCATTACGTTTCGCCGATTCGCGGCGGGAGTGCAATACATAGATTTACGAATATATATGTACAGTTTGGTCCGCACCAACTTGTGATCAGTGCCACACTCAGCTCC